TACACCACCTTCATCCCCTTCGGATTCCCTTCTGGGATCATCCGTTAAAATCGGAACGATACAGAGAAGATAATAAAACATCCGCCGCTCTGCGGTTGATCGGGAGTTTCTGTATATAGAAGAAGGGGCGCGCGCTTCTGGGCGAGAGGGAAATGATCGAGAGGAGAAAGAGCGTGAGCATCAGGAGGGCGAGGCTCGCGAGGGGGCGAACCAGCGGCGAAAAGTCTGCGGAAATCGCGCGCCCCGAGAAATCTCCTCCTCCTCCTCCTCCTCCTCCTCCTCCTCCTCCTCGCCCACCTCTTCCTCCTCCTCCTCCTCCTCCTCCTCCTCCTCCTCATCATCATCATCATCATCATCATCATCATCATCATCATCATCATCGTCATCGTCATCATCATCATCATCATCATCATCATCAGCATCATCATCGTCCTACCGCATCCTCCTTCTTCTCCTCCTCCTCCTCCTCCTCCTACTCCTGTTCATCCTCTTCCTCCTCATCCTACTCCTGCTCATCCTCCTCCTCCTCCTCCCACACCCTGGTCCTCCTCTTCCGCCTCCTCCGCCTCCTCCTTTTCCTCCTCCTCCTCCTCCTCCTCCTCATCCTGCTCTTCCACACACCGCATCCTCAGCCCCCGCGGCCCCAGAACGTCCCGACCCCTTCCCCAGATCCGTCTTTGCTGCGCCATGATGCCAGAACGCGGCACCGAAGCCCGAAACCGAGGAAGGCCACCAGGATTGAAAGAATCGTATCGTCGGAGATCAGGGCCCTCCGCCTCCTCCTCCTCCTGCTCGTTCTCCTCCTCCTCCTCCTCCTCCCCCTCCTCCTCCTCGTCCTCCGCATCCTCCCGTTTCTTCCTCTCTATCTCCTCCTCTTCATCTCCCTCCTCCTCCCCCATCGGCTCCTCCCCGTCCCCCTCCTCCTCCTCCTCCTCCTCCTCCTCTTCCTCCTCCTCTTCCTCCTCCTCCCAATCCTCCACACCCCCCCTGCTACTGCTGCTCCTCCTCCTCCTCCTGCCTCAACCCCCGCCCCCCCACCACCTCCCCGGGAGGGCGGAAGAGGGAGGGCGGGAGGGAGGGGGGGGGGGAGGGGGAAAGGAGGGGAGGGAGAGAAGTGGAAGGGCGGGAGGGGGGGGGGGGAGGATGAAGGGAAAGGGGGAGGGAGGAGGAGGGGGCGATGACGAGGGGGCGAAGCACCGCATCCATAGCGGATGGGCCGGCACGCCCGAAAAATAGCGCAGGAGCGTGCGGTACAGATTTGAACCGGCTTTCCGTGCAGCATTTGCTGTGTTGCATCGGCCCTGGAGAGTAACGGTCTGGACGGGCCGAGTCTGCCGGGGAGGGAGAAACGCAACGAATTCCCCCCCCCCCGCGAGGTAGCAGAAAAACTTTAAGACCTTTGGGCCGCAGCTAGGTGGCCGGATGGCTGTCGCCGCCGTGCGACCGTTTAGATTGCCACAGTGATTTCGTACAGGCTACTTGTCCATCTTCAACCCACCTGTGGACCTCCAGCGTCCACCAGCTCAGCACCCCGACCTCCAGACTCCAGCATCGGACTTTCCGCCTCCACCCCCGCCTATCGACTGTCCCCTCCACCCCGCCTATCGACCTCGAGCCTCCAGCATCCGAGAGCGAGAATCAGGATAGTGAGGAACATGAGTGCGATGATCGGCGCCATGTGGGCCTGCTCCACGGGAGGAGGGATCGCGATCCTGTCGGTGACCGGGGGGGCCCACTCCACAGCAGGGCGGCGATGTGGGACCTGCTCTACAGCATGTCGGGGCGCCATCCTTAGGGCGTGGAAGAACAGGCTCGGCAGAGCCGAAATTCGTGACAATTTCGTTGCTTCCGTCTGTGCTGCGCGGTGCGTGAGGCACATCGCAGCACGGCACGTGTTGCAGCATGCAGTGTGTCGCTGGCGTAATTGTCGTTGCAAGAAGCACCGCATCCATAGCGGATGGGCCGGCACGCCCAAAATGTAGCACAGGAGCGTGCGGTACAGATTTGAGCCGATTTCCGTGCAGCATTTGCTGTGTTGCATCGGCTCCTGGAGAGTAACGGTCTGAAGGGGCCGAGTCTGCCGGGGAGGGAGAAACGTAACGAATTCCCCCCCCCCGCGAGGTAGCAGAAAAACTTTAAGACCTTTGGGCCGCAGCTAGGTGGCCGGATGGCTGTCGCCGCCGTGGGACCGTTTAGATTGCCACAGTGATTGCGTACAGGCTACTTGTCCACCTCCAACCCACCTGTGGACCTCCAGCGTCCACCAGCTCAGCACCCCGACCTCCAGACTCCAGCATCGGACTTTCCGCCTCCACCCCCACCTATCGACTGTCCCCTCCACCCCGCCTATCGACCTCGAGCCTCCAGCATCCGAGAGCGAGAATCAGGAGAGTGAGGAACATGAGTGTGATGATCAGGAGGGTGAGCTTCAGGAGGGCTGGGAGGACGACGGGCCAGGAGGGCGGGGGGGGGAGGGGACAACTACGGAGCAAAGCCGGAGCACATCGCAAGGGAAAAGACGACGACAAGGGCGACGGTAACGGCCCCCCTCGGCCGCGCACATGCCGCATGCCTCGGGCCATGATTTGCAACCTCCCTTTTTCCACGCCCCTCGCTGTCGGGAAGACCCGCTCAAAACGGGTCCCTGGGGTCCAAGCGCACTGGCTTTCCGAGCGGCGTCCAGCCGCGCCGACCAGGAGGGCCTCCGAGGGCCAGGAAGCCACGATCCTCGACCCTCGAAGTTCGAACATCGACTTTAACCCGTCTCAAAATCGACGGGATCCGGTCAAAATCGGTCCCCAGACCCCTCCCGGGGTCCCCTGGACGCACATGTTCACCCCGGATCGGTTTCCGAGGGTCCCCGAGCAAAAAAAGGCCTCCAGGAACCGAAACGACGAAAGCCTCCTGGATCCTCGAGGTTCGAACCTCCACGGGAACCCCCTTCCATGCCCCTCTCCCGGGCGCCCCCCCCAAGTTTTCTTTCGTTCAGGGCGCCCGGATGCCAGTGTGGCCAGGCCCCCCCCGGACGACGACGGCGGCGACGGCGACGACGGCGACGACGACGACGACGAAGACGACGACGACGGCGACGACGACGACGACGAGGACGACGGCGACGACGACGACCACGACCACCACGACGACGACGACGACGACGACGGCAGCGGCGGCGGCGGCGGCGGCCGCAGCGACGACGACGACGACGACGAGGACGACGATGGCGATCTGTCCGGAAACGGTGCCGGAGGCTCCTGTGGGCACCTCCCCCGGGGCCCGTTTTGTGGGGATGTCTCAAGCGAGGGCGCCGGTTTGGGATTCGTCCGCGGATCCGCCGGATCTGTCCGGAAACGGTGCCGGAGGCCGCTCTGGGCTCCTGTGGGCACCTCCCCCGGGGCCCGTTTTGTGGGGATGTCTCAAGCGAGGGCGCCGGTTTGGGATTCGTCCGCGGATCCGCCGGATCTGTCCGGAAACGGTGCCGGAGGCCGCTCTGGGCTCCTGTGGGCACTTCCCCCGGGGCCCGTTTTGTGGGGATGTCTCAAGCGAGGGCGCCGGTTTGGGATTCGTCCGCGGATCCGCCGGATCTGTCCGGAAACGGTGCCGGAGGCCGCTCTGGGCTCGTGCTCTTCGCGCCGGGGGTGAGGATGACGTGAGTTCCACAGAAACTCCCTCAAATTAGCATGGCCCTTGCGCAAGGATGACACGCACAAATCGAGAAGTATATACAATATTTATACACCACTTTCATCCCCCCAGGGCTGGACCAAAACGGTGTTTTGGCCATCTCGTGGGCTGTTTTGTTTTCACTTTTGTTCTGCATTCAAGGCGAAGCGAAGGCAAAACGAGGGAGAACGAAAAGCAAAACGACAACGAAAAACACCGTTTGGGTTCAGCCCTGCATCCCCCCGCCCCTCCTCCAGCCTCTTCTTCCTCGCCACGCCCTGGGGAGGGGGAGGAGCGAGGCAGGCGGTGGTGGTGGTATATATATATATATATATATATATATATATATATTGTTGGGCCGCGCAGCATCTGCCCCCACAGCCTTCAAGCATCCCAGACGGGGTCCGAGTACATGGGGTCGGAGGGTCGCGCCGCATCGCTGGTGCATCGGCGATGACGCTCGATGCGGAGCCCGAATTCCTCCCCGCCGACGTCGCCGATGCATTGCCGATGTCTCCGATGCATCGGCGATGCAGCACGATCTTCCGATCCCCATCTACTCGGAGCCCATTTGGGAGGCCTCTATTACTGCAACGGCTCCCGCTCTCCTCCCTCTTGCCCTCATCCTCCCTCCGTCCCCCCCTCGAGGGCCCCCATGCGGTGTGGTGACCACTCCGCGTGGTGAGTCACTAGGGATTCGGGGCCACCGCACGGAATTCGCCGTCACCGCACGGTGTCGGGGCCCCGAATCCCCCCCTCCCATTCTCCCTCTCCCTCGCGCTCTCCTTTCTCCCTCTCTTGTTACCCCCCTTCCCTCTCGCTCTCCCCACTTCCGCCCTCCTCCCGACCCCCCACGGCTTCCCCTGCATCCTCCCTCTCCCCTTTCCCCCTCCCCCACTTCGTCCTTCCCTTCCTCCTTCCTCTTTACCCCCCCTCCCTCTCCACTTGTCACTCCCCCACTCCCCCTCCACCTCCACAGGAATGAGTGGAGAGAGGAGGAGGAGGAGGAGGACGAGGAATTTCCTCTGATCCCCCTCTCCCCTCCCCTCCGTTCCCCGCCCCCGCCCGCTCCTCTTCCCCACCTCACCCTCCCTTTCCCAAATCCGTGCTTCGGTGCGGATCGTCTGCGCGCCTCGTCTCCGTCGTTGTCGTCGTCGTCGTCGTCGTCGTCGTCGTCGTCGTCGTGGTCGTGGTCGTGGTCGTGGTCGTGGTGCGTGTTGCTCTGCTGGAGACTTGTTCCCTTTGTGCAGTGACCACCACCCACCACCTCCCCCCTTTCTCTTCAGGCCGGGAGGGCGGGCACCTCTCCGTGGCTCCCTGCTGGCAGTGCGCCCGCCGAGGCTCAGACGGTGCGCTTCGCGGCGATGGGCCCGCGCAGGCTGGTCTCGGGGGGCGCCGACAGGACGGTGCGGATCGGTGGTTCAAAGATGGGGTCCTGAGGGATGGGGTCCTGCTACCCTCGTCAAAATCAACCTCAAAAATGGCGAACACGCCCCTCCAATGTCGGGGCCATGGCAAAGGTGGTCTGATTGGGAACGACTCGGAAGGTCGTTGATGACCGACATTGAAGGGGCGGCGCATACAAGTCCCTCGCAGTCATCGTTACTCTGTCCAATATCTCCCCACAGAAAGTTCTACCACGCAAGACATTTTTGAGGTTCATTTTGACGAGGGTTGTAAGGACGAGGTGCCTCGAGCAATGCAAATCCACCCTTGGATTCCTTCTTATCCTCAGGACCCCATCCCTCAGGACCCCATCTTTGAACCACCGAGCGGATATGGCGGTACGACACGCAGACCAGCAACTGGGTCGACCAGCACCGGTTCCCAGAGGAGGAGCACAGCGATTTCGTGCGCGATGTGGCGTGGCGGCCGAACATGGGGATCCCTGCCAACACGGTGGCGTCCTGCGCGGAGGACGGCACGGTGGTCATCTGGACGCAGGCCATGTTGGATCAGCCTTGGAGGAAGCAGTTCAGACTTGAGCTCGCGGCCGCTGCCTGGCAGCTGTCGTGGGCCGTCACCGGTTCCATTCTGGCCGTGTCCACCAGCGCAAACCGGTGCCACCTCCTCAGCGAGACGCGCGAGGGCCAGTGGGAGAGCGTGGAGGTGCGTGAGGAGGCGGAGGATCCTGCCCTGGACCCTGGAAGCCCAGACCGTGCGGGCCCAGCGTTCGAAAGCGCTGCGTCCAGGTGAGTCCGTGGGCGCCAGACTTCGGGCGGCTCACCAGAGCTGCCAGAGCGCGGCGCTCTGAGAGGTCGTCGGGTCCAGGGGCGCACTGGAGGGACGCGCTCTTCCCGCGCCGGACTTTGGGATGGGCTCCGAGCGCGGACGAGGCGGAAGTGGCCGAAGCTGTCCCGGCTACCGCGGGGGCGGGCCCCTGGGCTGCGGGACTGCCCTCGGGAGAGGCTCGCGGGTGGCGGGCCCTGCGGAGCCGCTTGGCCCCTCTCCTTCGGAGCGCGCGCCCTGCTCGAGGGGCCCAGCCCGCGGAGAGAGGCGCTCGCCGCCGCTGCCCTCCCACGGCGATGACGACGACGACGACGACGACGACGACGACGACGACGACGGTCACGGTCACGGTCACGGTCACGGTCACGGTCACGGTCACGGTCACGTTGACAGTGACAGTGACAGTGACAGTGACAGTGACGGTGACGGTGACGGTGACGACGACGCCGACGATGACGATGACGATGACGACGACGCCGTTGTCGACGACGACGCCGCCGCCGACGACGACGACGACAACGACGCCGCCGCCACCGCTGCCGCCGCCGCCGTCGACGACGAAGACGGCGACGATAACGGCGCTGGCGCCGCCGCTGCCGCCGCCGAAGACGCCGCCGCCGCCCTCGCCACCGCCAACAACAACAACAACAACAACAACAACAACAACAACAATAACTTTAAGACTGTTCGCCCTTATATGCTCGAGCGTCCAATAACGCGTATTTCCCAAACCCTCGATACCCGCCCTCTTCGTCTTCGATCGAACCCCTTTTGGGAGGTAGACCTTTCTTCCCTGCAGGCCGGGCCCCGGCAAGCGGCGGGGCGGCCGCGGACCGTCGGCCTGGCCAGCGGCAGCGCTGATCGGCGGGGCGGCCGCGGACCGTCGACCCGACCCCAAAAGGGACGGACAGGGGACCGACCACGACGACGACGACGACGACGACGACGACGACGTCGAAGACGACGGCGACGACGACGACGGCGACGACGAGCGAAAGCGAGAGCGAGAGAGAACGACAGCAGGGCCACGAAGGGCACGAAGTAGGCCACGAAGGGCGACAGCGGGGACACGAAGGGAATGCGTATGGGGCCACGATGAGCGCGAACGAGCGGGGGCCACGAAGTGCAGATAATGCGGGGCCACAGAAGGCAACTATGGGGCCACTGAGGGTAGCAACTGGGCCACGTAGGACAGTGAGGGGGACACACATGGCGACAGCGGGGCCACGAAGGGCATGCACACGGGGCCACAACGGGCGCGACTCCTGGGTGCCTGGGTGTCGTCAGCGCGGCGCTTGAAAAAAAATCTGAAATTTCAGCGCAAGGCTATTCTTCAGTAAATTGCAAGCAAGTCTCCAGCGAGAGCGCGACTCCTGAATAACATGCGAGGTAGTCTCGGGCGGGAGCGGTGGCCCTGGCTAAATTGTAAGGAAGTGTCAAGCGGGAGCTGTTGTTGTTGTAACCCGGGGGCCAGGGGCCCAGTTTGAGCAGGAAGACTTTCTCTGTAAAAAACAGGATGCGAGCGTCGACGGGCACATTTTGATTGAGAAAAACAGTATGCACCTGTGGGGGGATCAACAATAATTATTCTTTAAAAATGAGAATTCAACAACAACAACAACGACGACGACGACAACGACAACAACAACAACAACAGCGACGAGGACGACGACGACGCCGTCCCCGACGACGACGTCGCCGCCGCCGCCGACGACGACGTTAACGACGACGATGGCATCCGGCCGCCGCCGACAGAAGCTAGCGGGGGGGCGAAGGGCTTCTGACGCCTTTACGCCCTGCGAGAAGATGGACCCCCCCGGAGGTTTCCTGGGGACCGCTCGGGGGAGAGGCTTTCCTCCCCCCAGCGGAGCGCGGGGCCCTATGCGGGGAGACGTCAGCTGGCAGCACCCATCCGGGCCGCGCCGTCTTGGGCCCAGGATCGTCAGGAGAGGTAAAAGCAACACAGACACAAGTAATCGTCGACTCCCCAGAAAAATTCGAAAATATGAAAAGTGTGGGGTGGGAAGACGAAACTCTAGAAAATATGGAGACGACGGGAAATCCTGGGAGTTGTGTCTATTTATTATCTTGCACAGGGTGTCTAGAGCTCCGACGAATTTATTTCGGCACGGCACACCCTTCATCAACCACGCATTCCACCAGCCACCCCTTCGCCCCGACCCCGTTATTTTGGCACGGCACACCCCTTACGCCCCCCCCCCCCCACCAGCTGGTTTCGGCACGGCACGCCCCCGACGCATCCCCCCCTACCCACCAGCCAACGCGCCCCTTCGCCCCGACCCCTTTATTTCGGCACGGCACACTTCCAGCCAGCGCGCCCCTCCATCACCCCCCGCGCATCCACCCACCCACCAGCCAGCGCACCCCTTCCATCACCCACGCATTCCCCCGACACACCTCCTCCGCATCCCACCCACCCACCAACAAACGCCCCCCTCCGCCCCGACCCCTTTTATATCGGCACGACACACCCCTCCGCCCCGACCCCTTCATTTCGGCACGGCACACTTCCAGCCAGCGCGCCCCCCTCCATCACCCACACATTCCCCCGACACACATCCTCCGCATCCCCCCCACCCACCAGCCAGCGCGCCCCTCCGCCCCGACCCCTTTCTTTCGGCACGGCACACCCCTCCGCCCCGTCCCCTTCATTTCGGCACGGCACACTTCCAGCCAGCGCGCCCCTCCATCACCACCCGCGCATCCACCCAGCCACCAGCCAGCGCACCCCTTCCATCACCCACACATTGCCCCTCCATCACCCCCCCGCGCATCCACCCAGCCACCAGCCAGCGCGCCCCTCCGCCCGACCCCTTCATTTCGGCACGGCACACCCCCTCCGCATCCCCCCCACCCGCCAGCCAGCGCGCCCCTCCGCCCCGACCCCTTTATTTCGGCACGGCACACCCCTCCAGCCAGCGCGACCCCTCCGCCCCGACTGCTTCTTTTCTGTGCAAAAACCACGGCACGCGTGCCACTTGTTTGTGTGTCCCAGGGCCCCTGAGATCGGTGTGCAAGCGCCCTCCTGGCTCGGCCAGATGCACACTGGCCCTGGGCAGGTGCTTGGATCGTCTCCCCGGAGACGCCGCGGAGGCCCCGTCCGAGTGGCCCCCGGCGGAGCTGGCTGGGCGCCGGTTGTCGTCGCCCACCACTTAGGAGCGAACGAAGGACGTACACGTGCATGAATCCACGCTATGGTCTCGAAAGGACGCATTGCGCGAACTTTCGTATCACGCGACCCGTCTCGCGGATCGAGGGGCCGTGTTCATGTACATAGTTAGGCGCGTATGTCCTTTGTGGGCTCCCTAGGCAATGCACCCCAACCCAACCCAACCCGAAGGCTTCAATTTGCCCTCCATTTCCAGGGTGGTCGGAGAACAATGAGAAAACACATGCTGTGGAACCCGTACCTCCCCCCAAACCCGAAATTCGGGTCTTCGGGTTGGGTTGAGGTGGTCTGGCGGGTAGTCAGGTTGTGCCTGGCTCGCCCTTCCCGTGCGACGTCGGACGGCTGTACTACCGACGGGTCCCACGTCCTGGGCCCAGGGTGGGGACTGGCCAGGATCGGTGAGGTGGCCAGCTGACGTCGCCCGACCACGGAGAGGCCCACCGTCGGCAGCCGCTCTTCCGCGGGGCAACGCGGGAGCCGCCTCGGAAGTCCCAAGGCTCGGGGTATTGAAGTAGGTATGGAATCAAGGGGCACGGTCGGACCGAGGTATGAGATCGAGGTCGGTTCGGGGAGGGTACCCTCATGTTCTTCGTGCTCGTCGGATGTTCTCGTGCATCCTGTGGGAGGGTACCGTCGAACGTTCTTCCAGTTCGACGTGCGCACGAAGACCATCAGCAGTCCCTGCCCACTTTGAGCAGGAATCGCCGTCGGTGTCGCTGCGGACGTTGTCCATCTGAGACAAAAGTTGTCTGCCCACCAGTGGCCGCTGTCGGCTGTGGGCGATGTTCGCTGGTGGCCATCGTACCCACGTGTTCCGTACCCATTGCGGGCGTGCCAAAGGCGGTGCGGTGGCCACAATGGTGGGGTGAGTCCGTGGGGGCTCGGGGTGGCCGCACAGTTTGTGGGACCTGGGTCGTCATTCGATTGTGCTTTGGGCGGCTGGGACCTCAGGTCTGAAAGCCGCGGGGTGGCTGACCGCGCGGTGAGTCGGAGGAGGATAAGGTACCCATACCGCTACCCATCCCTCGTTTTCCCTCTTGTGGTCCTCCTCGGAGGCCCTCGTCGCCACCGCTGGATTCGCCTCGAAACCTTGGTCAGAACGCACCCCGGGAGAGGTCCAGGGAGTACAATAGCGGTATTTGTGTTTTTGGTCTCCCCAGTGAGGCCTTTGGGGGTTTGGAGGCCGTCGCACGGTCTGTCACTGCACCGCCTGCTCTGGGACCCCAGCCGCCAGAAGGTGTCCACAGGATTTTCCCTGGGAGGACTCCTGTACTCGGAGACGGCCTCCTGGGAGCCTGCCTCGCGGGGCCCAAGGCGGGGCTCGACGATGGAGCGAGCGGGAAGCTTGGGGGGGCACCTCTGGTCCAGGAACCCCCGTAGCAATCCTTTTTCTCGGGAGGACCGATATGGGGACAGGCATCCCAGAGTGGGGCGACGAGATCTGTACACATCCGCTGCCCCCCTGGCCAGGCCTATCATGGGCCCAGGAGCGGGTTATACGTACGCCCTCCTGGCTTGGCCAGGGAGACACATACATTGCGCCTGGGCCCGGGATGGGCCTGGCCGGGGGCAGTGCAGATGTACAGATCTCCTCGCCCCAGGGAGGACAAAAAGGGGGTGGGGGGCGGGGGAGGGTCAAATTACTGGTGTCGGAAACAATTAAGCAACACTCATGCAGAGCATATGGTTTGAACCTCTCCCCCCTCCCCACAAATACAATGTTGGTTTCGGATCTTCCGATTTTGGGCCTCCGAGCGGTCTTGCGAAAACCTGCCGACTTTGAATTGCGGGGGAGGGGGGACTTGTTGCTCTCAACCGTATGAAGTCTGCCGCATGCGGCTGGTTTCGGCCCCGCCGCCGTGTATTTTCTTCGATGCATGGTCGCCTCGGGCGCCGGGGGGCGCCGGGCAAACAGCTGCATGCACTGATTCGCGGTGCCGGTTGACGTGCGAGATTTGAGTGTACCTTCTCGGCTGCTGGAATCATTGCCAGGAGGGGAAGAACCACTCAGACACAATTAATCGTCGATTCCCAGACAACTATGGGAAAATATGGGGAAACATTGGAAGAGGGGGGAAGACACAAGTTGAGAAAATATTTGCAAATATGGGGAATCCCGGGCTTTGTGTGTATTTATTTGTGTGTCCCTGGACCCCCTCAATTTCGTCCTTCGACCAAGGGCGAGGGAAGGGGCCCGGGGGGTGCAGAACTGTGTCAACGCTTCAAGTGCATGTGCCTCTGGACTGGAGGTACGCATGTTCAGAGTCTCGTGGGGCTGGGGGCTGGGGTGGGCCCCTCCAGGCAAAGGGGGGCGGGACAGAGTAAACAGGGCCCCAGATGGAAATGCATCGCAGGGTCATCGGAGATGCGGCGCGATCCGCAAACCGATTCTTTCCAGCAGGACATCGCCATCTCATCGTCGATGCACAGGCGATGCGGTGCGATCACGAAACCCTCCAGGTCGGCTTGCCGCCTCCCAGGTCTCCCGCAGGGGCGCGAAGAGTTCGGCACGTCGCGGCTTTTCCATGAGAACCTCGCGATGACGCGAAGGGACCTGCGCTTCGCGCGCGCGCGCTGGCGCGAATCGCGGAGTTGGGTGCGGTAGATTCGCGTCGTGTCGACCAGCGGCGACCCCGCCGCCGGCGTTCAACGTTGAGCGCCGCCGGCGACTCAGAATCGGTCGGTGTGGAAGGATCCGACGTTTCGGAAACGGCACGAACCAGCGGCACCCTTGCTCCATGCAGACGGCCTCCAGATCCGTTCCCTGTGCGGGAACGCCTGCACGCCAAGCCAGGCGGAGCATCAGCAGGAGGGGGAGCAGCAGAATAAGCAGGGGAAGACGGAGGCGGGAAAAGGAGGGGGGCGACAGCGATGAGGGAGGACTCGGATCCAGAAAACTGGCCCGCCCTCGGGTGAGAGCGCCATTCCGAACGACGGGAGCAGCGCGCCGATCCGAAAATGAGGCCAGCGCTGCAGCGGAGCAGCAGTTCGAAGGACCGAGCACATTTGGGGTGCAACCGAATCGTCAGATTTGATATGTTCTGAATTTCTGCGTGTAGGCAACACGTCCTGTGGTCAAATATCTTCCGGGCGAAGGCAGGGGACAGAGAAATGCACGTAGTATCGTTCATGTGTGGATGTAGACAGGAGACAGGAGGCATGAGGTGTTGGGTGAGTCGGAGGAGGAGAAGAAGGAGGAGGAACAGCAGCATGAGGAGGGATCAGGGAGAACAAGCGGGCGAGGCGGAAGAGGAGGAGGAGGAGCAGGAGGAGGGATGAGGAGGAGGGATGAGGAAGGATAAACGACTGGGAGGAGGAGGAGGGAGGAGCAGTTTGGAGGATGGGTCCCCAGAAAGTCTGCGTCAAGCAAGGGCACCATACATCATCTCATAAATATGCGAGAACTGAAAGGGAATGAGTGAGCGCACGCGTGCATGTCACTGCGCTGAGAGTGCGTCCTTGCTGCGCTGGTCAGGATGGTCAGGGTCCGGCCCCACAGCGACCCTTGCAATCATCGGGCGCTCTCAGCTCGAGCTGCACTTTGGACCAGGTGCACTCGGATCCTGCAATTCTGGACCTTCTTGGAGCGGTCGCACGATGACGCTCCACGAATGTTGGGCAATCCATGTGCGGGTGTATTTTCGAGGTGACGTATTCCGCAACATTGGTGCGGTTTCGTGCAGATTGCACGAGGGTTGGGCTCATTTCGCGCACCCTTTGCGCCAGTGATAAGCTCAGGCAGCTTGCTGTCAAATTCGCAAGGGGACCCCGCTCCTCAGCAGCATTCACGCGAACTTCATGCGACAGGCACAGGCTGTATCGTAAGTTGATTGCGTTTGTTCAATCGCTTCGCTCACTCCGCCAGCCCATTTCGCACCATGGTGGCTACATGGTGGTGTGCTCGTACCCATGGGAAACGGAAGGGCAGGCAGGACTGTCCTGAGGAGATCCTTGGAGATGTGGTTCGCGCCCCGCCGAAGAGAGCCGATACACTGCCCCATAGTGCGCCAAGATGGCTCAAGAGATCTCCTGCAGAGTTTCGAGACGTACCTGGGTTATGGGTCAAAGTCCTCATGGATGCATCTTGGGGTCTCGTCAGAGGGCTTTTGGAAGGCTCTGGGGAGCAGTTTTGAGGACTCTGGGGGGCCTTTGGGGGCTTCTTGGGGGCCTCTTAGGGCTTTCTGGGGGCCTCTTGGGGCTTCCTGGGGGCCTGTTGGGGGTCTCGGGAGCCTCTTTGGGGGCCTCTTTGGGGGCCTCTTGGGGGGCTCTTGGGGGCCTCCGGGGGCTTCCTGGGCGCTCCTTTGGCCGAGATCTCGAAATGCCCTTTCGGGATCCCCCTCTGGGCCCCCTCTTGGGGCCATCCTGGGGCCGTCTTGGAGGTCTCTTGGGCCGTCTTTGGGCCATCTTGGGCTAGTTGGAGGCCCTCGTGGAGTCCTTTTGTGCCGTTCTGGAGCGATCTTGGGGCCTCTTGGGCCGTCCAGGCGGTCGTCAGCTCAAAAAAACTGTACCGCCCCAATCGTCCGAAAACCTTACCAAAATCAGCTGTTTTGGCGTCTTCGGGGCCTCTCGAAATTCTCTTAGAACCCTCCTGGAGGATCTTGGGCGCTTCTTGGGCCGTCTTAGGCCCAACGTGGGCCATCTTGGAACGCTCTTGGCCTGAGGCCATGGGGCGTGCCACCCTTCTGGCGCCTCATTGGGGTGCTCGGGGGGCCCGAGGCCGCGCCCAGGAGTTCCGGCATCTCTGATCCGACCTTGCCGGGTTTTTGCCCGGGGATTTTTTGTCCGCGGACCCCTAGGGGCCGCCACGCGCGCCAACTAGAAACCTCATTCAATTCTTACCAGAAATCTTAATACGCCTCTGGTCCGCTGGGCTGGCGAATTACACATGCTGCCTTGGAGGTGGAGCTCACCTCTTAGAGTTTAGGCATCGAGCGTGACACGATGGGTCGAGTGTCTATTCTGCTTGGCACGCGCGCCTCCACCGGAGGAGCAGAGGGTGGGGGAGGCGCGAGGATGTGGCCGAGGCCCTGGCGCAGGAGCAGGAGAAGTGGACGGTCCTGAAGCGGGAGGTGGAGGAGGTGAGTGGCCAGAGGCAGAGGAGGTAGAGGGAGCAGGAGGATGACGAAGACAAATATCAGGAGCAGGAGGAGGAGGAGGAGGAGGAGGAGGAGGAGGAGACGAAGGACCTCCTTCATCCTCTTTGTCGCCACCCTTCTGGAAGACGAGGAGGAGGAGGAGGAGGAGGAGGAGGAGGAGGGCGCGGAAGGCCTCCATCCTCGTCCTCCACCTTCTGGACGACGAGAGACCAGGAGGCGGGAGATAAGGAAGATCATGGGGAGGACCAGGAGGAGGAGGAGGAGGAGGAGGAGGAGGAGGAGGAGGAGGAGGTAGGAGGAGGAGGAAGAGGAGGAGGAGGAGGAGGAGGGAGGAGGAGGGAGTAGGAGAAGTGAGCAGGAGCGGGAAGCAGCACGAGGAGCCCCTCGCCCCCCTCGACAGAGTAGTACTCTCTTCTCTCCCCCGACGGGGCCCGAGGTCGTGGCCTGCCCCCCTGTGCGTATTGCTTTGTTACACTTGGGATCCCCGAGCGGTGATTCACGTGTGTGTGTGTGTGTGTGTGTGTGTGTGTGTGTGTGTGTGTGTGTGTGTGTGTGTGTGTGTGCGTGTGTGTGTGTGTGTTTCCCATCCGAACCTTTTCTTGTGTTTCCCGTCTGGCGCTCCCGCTACAGCGTTGGCTCCATTTTCTGGCTCTCAGTCCTTCCAGATCCTACTTCCGCTGCAGCGCTGACCTCATTTCTTTGTTGTGGATTTTCCAAATCGTGTTCCCGCTACAACGCTGGCTCTCATTTGATGTTCCGCTCTTTCCGAACCGTTCGTTTACATGTTTCGTCTTGCGTCATGTCTGTTTTCCCTCCGAACACGGTACGCTCTTCCGTGCTCTTCTACGCCATGCTATGCCGTGCGCTACCATGCATCTCGTACCCTCTCGGGATCCCTCGCCTCCCCCCCTCCCCCTCACCCTCGGCCCCTTTGCCTCCCCCTCGCCCTCGGCCCCCTCTGCCTCCCCTCCTCGTCCTCGGCCCCCTCGCCGGCCTGCCGGGCCTCAGGTGCTCCTGCCCATCAGCGAGCGGGACGGCCGCGTCGCGTCGCCCTCCACGCCCAGCCCGAGGGAGTCGCCGTCGCCCGATCGGTGCGCCGCTGGGGGGCTGCCAGGGGCTGCAGCCAGCTGTGCACTGGCCACCGATTTCCAGAGGCTAGAGGTGAGAGTCGAATAATAAGAATAGTAGTACTAATAATAATACTAATGGTAATAATAATAGTAATAATAATAATAATCATATTAATGATAATAATAATGATAATAGTAGTAATAATATTATCATCAATATTAATATTAATAGTAATACTGCTACTACTACTACTACTACTACTACTACTACTACTACTACTACTACTACTACTACTACTACTACTACTACTACTACTAATAATATTAGTAATAATAATATTAATACTAATAATAATAATACTAATAATAATAATATTTTCATTAATACTAATAATAATAACAGTATCAAGACGAAGAATAAACGCTATGAACATAAACTTTCGGCGCTCCGCGCGGGTTTCTTGGATCTGCGCTGGGCCCGGTACCTTTCTGTTCGCCCAAATCCCTTTGCTTCCCTCTCTCTTTCTCTTGGGTTGTGGAGGACGATCAATGGAGAGGAAGCATGTTACCAAATAATTTCCAGATGTCTAAAACATGTGTCAAACATGTTTGAAATATGTAAAACAGCATGTTTAAAACATGTTTAGAACATGTGCCTGGCAATTGTTTTAACACATTTTAAATTCAATGATAAGACTGTTAGGGTGTCCATTGTCGTGGCATCCACAACTCTTGGAATGGGGGAGGGAGGTGGGCAGGAGGGGCGGGGCAGCGCAGGAGGCGCAGGAGGGAGGGAGGAGGACGGGACGGGGGAGAGAGTGCTGAGGGCGGGCGACGGCGCCATGTTGCGGGAAGGCAAGTCCCTGAAGGGTCGACCCGAACGAAAGGGGGAATAGGGAAAGGGGAGGGTACGAAATCTGCTGCATGCAGCTGGTTTCGGCCCCGCCGCCGGGCCCATTCCTCGATACATGGGCGCCTCCCGGCGCCGGAAGGCGCTGGGAAACTCAGCCACGTGAGCTGATTCTCAAACCCCCCATTTGCTATCCCCCCCTTTCGCCCGGCCCGAAAGGGGCGCCCGAGGTCGCGGAGTCAAGCGCGAGGAGGTCGAGAGGGTGTCCTAATTCCTAATCCCTCAAAGGACAGGCAGAGAAGGAGAGCGAGAGAGAGAGAGAGAGTGAGAGACGTACTCACACGCACAAGCACAGACTCATTCATTCAGTCTATCATTCAGTCATTCCGTCATTCAGTTAGTCAGTCATTCTCTCATATATACACACATTCACGCAAACGCTCGCGCATATGTTCCTTAGACGCGGCGATGTCGACCAAGCACCAGCTCACAATCATCAAGCGGGATGCTCTTTGTCGTCAGCGCTGGCGGTCGCAAGCGCGTCTGCAGAGCCGGCGGGCACCGAGCGGGACACACGCAGACGCTTCTGGCGCCCGCGGCCTGGTGAGTGCCCCAGCCGGAGGTCCCGTCGCACCGACCACTGCGGCCGCGCGCGCGGCGGCGCGGCGCAGGGCAGGGTCGAGCGGGAGAGCGGCGCGCGGGCGCGGCCGGCTCACGCAGCTTGGAAGAGCCGGATCTTCACTGGGATGGGCTGCCCTGGCTCGCGAGGGGGCAGTCGCGAGGGGCACGCGGGAAGGGGGGCAGGAGGGGGATGCCGAGGAGGGGAAAGGCAGTGGTGCCGGCGCAGAGCAGTGCGGGCAGCAGTGGGCCGAGGCCGAGAGCGTGGTGCAGTGGAGGCAGCTTGCAGCGGCATACGACGGGGAGGACGGAGCAAGGCAGCTCGAGGGCAGTGCGAGGCAGTACGGCAGTGGAGCCAGTAGGCTGGAAAGGAAGGGACAGGTGGCCGCAGTAGGCCCAATAGTTAGGCAGAGGGCAGGACAGGGCGGTCGAGTGGCAACAGCCCCAGACACACGCGTACAGTCAACCCGCATAGTAAGCATGAGCCACTTCCCAAGGTTACCCTTGCATCCTTCCCCTTCGGCCCATCCTTGGCCACTTTCGCTGGCCCGTGCTCCGCTCGAAAGGTGTCGACACGGTCTGCCAAGGCCCTTGCATCCCCATCGCGCGTCCGTATTGATCGGGCTGACTGCACACACAATCACACACGCACGCGGACAAACTCACTCACAAACCCACTCACTCACTTACACTCACTCACACACGCACAAACACACACACACACACACACACGCACACGCACACGCACACGCACACGCACGCGCACGCGCACGCGCAGACGCACACGCACACGCACACGCACACGCACACGCACACACACATACACACCTACACACACACACACGCACACACTTTTTGGCGTCGCGGCCACGCGCGAAGCGGCGCGGCGCAGGCAGTCAAGAGGGGACGATGGCGGCCCGGCAGTGGAACTGGTCGGGGTGCCAACCTCCCACGGGGCTGGCGGATGGTGGTCGTCCACTAAGTGCACCAGCTGGGTATAGCCAGAACCTCGGGGA